CCCCCGTATTTAAGAAGAAACTACAGGATGACTATTTTATTCAAAACAAATTATTTTTTAAGAATTTCAGCTCCATCAGCTCGAAAGAATAATACATTTTTGATATGCAGTGTTTGTTAAGCTACTTTCATGTGTTTTTAAAATAGTAACATTTCAGAATATTACTTTCCCTAAGTTTGCAGCTTATGCCACCCATTTCTGAAGGAATGCTTTAATCCTCTCTACTCAGAAAAAGCAATTTAACATTGATAATATGCCGGCTCAGAGCTCCATCTGGTCGCTGCTGATAAGGGCATCTGCGTGACAGGGGAATTTTCCACTCTTCAGGCAATTTGCAGTGCTTACTGAACTTCTAAAAATCTACCAGCAAGGAAGCAGAGACAGGGACTTTTCATATTAGTGGACAAAATAGCAACTGTAGATCAGCATGTGCTAGTTCATCATAGGAACATAAAAGAAACCAGTATGTTTTATTTCTACAAACCTTCTGATAACTAGTGTGTAGAACAAAATTAATGGCAGCCTTCCATTAAAACCAAGATGATTAAGATTTAAATCAAAACCACTACCTGAATGTCTAAGAACAACTTTCTAGATCTAGAATTTTAAATTTCCCTTTCACCAAGAAATATGTACAATTTTATAAAACAAACCTCATGGACAATTCTGAAAAAACTCTTCTTGATACGTATGAGGTGTTGCATAGTACTTTCTGCTGTAAGGAATGTATGGCGAGAGATTTCTGGAAACATACTCCATCACACGTATTATACCAACTCTCACCTCCCACACTTCTTCATTGCCTCCAGCTCCTCAAAGACAGCAGCTTATAGTTCAGCTTTCTTGGAAACATAAATACTAGCCTTTTCCTCTAAGACATCTCTTTCAAAACATACCTAAACTTTGGCATTAAGTGCACAGCACAGAAAGCATCTTCTGTGAAACTGAACACTTCTCCTTTATAAAATGTTCTACATCAAGTACAGCCTTAAGTCATTTTTGAAAGAGACTAGTGTATCTCCTCCCTAATTCAAGCTCCCTTCTACCTTGAGGATCTGAGTACCATCTGCCCTCTACTGAAGAAAAGCAGAGCTCTCAGTGCCTATTCTCTCATCAATGAAGAAAAACTTGGGGCATCTGGTAGAAGAGTGGAACACAGAGTGGTCTCTGAAAGCTATCTCAGTGCTCTCAACATGAAGGAAAGAGAAGGAGAAAGAAAATCTATATGAGTGACTGTTTCCTCTATCTAGAAATCTTTGCGTCATTCATTGGAGCAACAAACTTTGTAGAACACTGGCTTTATCTTCCTCACTCGTAGAAAAAAACCTGAGAAGATGGATTTTCCTCAGCTGTACAGACTCCCGATTAAAAAACAGCCCTACTTCATCCCTTCTTGTGGGCTTTCATTAAAGGAACATACTGGGGGTGGGGAAGATGATTGCGTATTTCTCAGAATTCATATCAGGACAGAGTAGGGGGAACTAAAAATGCAGTGCCCTTTCCAGAAAGAGAACATATTTGGATGGACCTCCTCTTTCTATTGGGACAGAAGAAACAAGTTAAGCACTACCATTTTTCCCACTTTACTTTACAAAGACAACGTATATATGAAAAAACCCAGATACTGAAACGCAGACTGGAAGGAAAGAACACGAAGTTCTCTATTAGTCTATACATACCTGACAGCAAAACCAAAAGCTTTGTTTACACAGCCAACAAAAGCACGAGACCTATTGCTATGCAATACAGAAACAATCCTCCAAGATACTGCCACAAATGACAGTCATCAATGCTATGAATGTAGAGCTATGAAAATTAAAGCTAGGCACACATGATTTGTGAATGACACACTATACTAATCTCATAAATGTCAGCAAAGACAAGGAGGGATACATATGAAAAGGGCATAAATTTAACAAGGTAAGACTGTAGGGA